GGGCAGAAATCTCGAAGATCCATATTGGGGTCACTGTTATTTGACATTGTTTTTTTTTTCAGTTATAACATCTATTTTGATTGTTTATGGGTGACACGGAAATTCTGCTAAAAATGAGGTGAATTTTCATTCTTCTCAAAAAATGTTCATTTTTTTTTCACCAATTTGGGATTCGTTCTTGACGTGTCAACAGTTGAACATTCACCTTACTTTTTTTAACAGAAGTGATGTTTCAACTTTGCAACGTTGCAACGTTGTTATTAAAACAACAACAACAGTAAGACCTACCAATGATGGACAATTTAATATTGACGAAACGGAACATGGAGATCACGTTTTTGTCTAGGGTTCACATTACGAATTCTTCCATTTCAAGAATATCTATTCTTGTTTTCAAAAACATAGATTGACAGTTCTAAAATGTATATACAGGATAGAATTGATTATAAATTTTCGAAATATTTCCCTACAAGAACTCCTGCTATTATTCGAGTATTTCATTTCTGTACAATAAACACATCTGAAGCTAGTGTAGAGTTACTCCATATACATACGCCATGTGCAGTGTTTTTTCCAAGTCAGACATGCATCAATGGTTATCCCCAGAAATGCTGTATCATCTGAACTGTTGAGTGTTTGATCATTTATTTGAATTTGTTCTTTTTCGCACTGTCTTTGACGATTGTGGAATCTCACCAAATGAGTTTTTTCAGTATCAAGGTACAATGTATTGTTTCCGCACCAATTCACAACTGACTTCAGAGTACTTTCATACTTCTCAAACAGAAGATGATCCACATTACTGGACACCACCAAGGATGTGCCATCAACGTACATCGTTATGAATGAATCTGTGATGAAGTTATCGATTTCATTTATATAAAGAAGGAATAATATCGGACCTAGCACAGATCCCTGTGGTACATCCATCGTGACGTCCAAGCGCTCAAAATCGAAGGTAACAAACTAACAAGCTAACAAACTGCTGCCTATTCTTCAGGAACGATAAAGCCCCGTCCATTGACATTGTTTTTTTTTTCAGTTATAACATCTATTTTGATTGTTTATGGGTGACACGGAAATTCTGCTAAAAATGAGGTGAATTTTCATTCTTCTCGAAAAATATTCATTTTTTTTCACCAATTTGGGATTCGTTTTTGATGTGTCAACAGTTGAACATTCACCTTACTTTTTTAACAGAAGTGATGTTTCAACTTTGCAACGTTGCAACGTTGTTGTTGAGTGTTGAGTGTTTGATCATTTATTTGAATTTGTTCTTTTTCGCATTGTCTTTGACGATTGTGGAATCTCACCAACTGAGTTTTTTCAGTATTGAGGTACAATTAATTGTTTCCGCACCAATTCACAACTGACTTCAGAGTAATTTCACACTTCTCAAACAGAAGATGATCCACATTACTGGACACCACCAAGGATGTGTCATCAGCCTACATCGTTATGAATGAATCTGTGATGAAGTCATCGATTTCATTTATATAAAGAAGGAATAATATCGGACCTAGCACAGACCCTTGTGGTACACCCATCGTGACGTCCAAGCGCTCAAAATCGAAGGTAACAAACTAACAAGCTAACAAACTGCTGTCTATTCTTCAGGAACGATAAAGCCCCGTCCATATGATATGATAATGATAATTGGTTACTTCGCAACCAAAGGAGAATTTTAAAAGCTCCAAAGTTGGTTATCACAGTTTAAACAGTAATTGATCACGGAAATGAATCGTACTTAACAAAAATGAGTATTTATATTTTTATTCTGATTTAATATTTTTTTGTGACCGACTCCTGACAAAATAAATATCTGTATAGAAATATTGGAAAATCATATTGTTGATCTCATACATCTAGAGAACAATCTGAGTGGTGAATAATAAAATTCTTCTAAATCTAATTCACCCACGAGTTCAACGAATTGTAGCCAACAATCAGGATGAATTCAAAAATCCAGTTGTTTTCCAACAAGATGGTGAGGACCCACTTTTTTCAGTCTTCTAAGGGATTAGCTGGATCAGAAATACTCAGGCATATGAATTGGTAGCCTGCACGTTCGCAGGATTTGACTCCTATAAATGTTTTCTTCCGAGAATTTATCAAATCAAAAGTTACGCAACGTAGGACAATAAGGGAACCCAGAGGCAGAATTGCCGAAATTCCTAGACCCAAATTCAAACATTGATAACTCCGCAACCGGTTATTGAAAGTGAATGTCTAGAGAATTGGAACAATCTCATACGAAATGTTACAAGATCCCCTTTCCATTTGAAAAATAAGGTTTAAAGTGCCCTGTCAGCGGCAAGTGATGTCACACTATTAGCTTTCGAATCAAAAAGTACTGAACATTTTACAAAAATTTTGCCAGACTCTGATATCTTGCCCAGTTCGAAAGTTGAGAGGGGGGCGGACGGGATACCATTTACGTCCTGACTGTCTATTATCTACACATTTACATTGATTTCATGACTCGTCTGATGAAATTATGAAATATTATATCAGGCACTTGTAGAATTTTTGAGAATGTTTATTCTTTCAAAGTGATTCATAAACTTGAAAAAGAATACTGTGTTTTTTCATGTATCAGTTCGTTGTGACTAGACATTTTATGATAGATAGAATCACCTTTTGATAATGTCCTCTCGAATGAGATTCCACCTTTGGAAAGGTGACACTGTTTTTCTTATCAAAAAGATAATTTTCCTTCTCTCAAGGTCTTCTATGATTTTTTGATAATAATCTAATTACAGCATAAGTAGTACAACAGTAAATTTTCTGGGAATCCACTGAGTTCAAAATCAGGAATATTCGAAAAATTTTCGAACGATGTGAGAACTTATAAAATGCAAGATTTCGAAAGAATCCAAATGAACTAGGAACTTATTTATAGAAAATTCCATGCACATGTCACACTGGAATAACACGAAAAATTCGATGTCCGAAAATAAGGAATGGAAAAAAAATCTGGAGAAGCTGTCTGCATTTTGTTGCATGAGCGAGAAAACACATCCACGTGCATCTTAGTTGAAGAAAAAAGAACTTCTTACCGGAATAGGAAGTTGAATACGGAAGTTTTGCCATATTTGATTGTGGATGTTTGAAAGTAGGTATGTTTGAAAAGATTGTTATTATTTTTTGTAACATCGCTAGTTTGTTTTATGTCACTTACTGCAAATGTCAAAATTTTTGTAACTGTATAACAGTATCATTTTGATTTCGTCAGTACAATATTTTTTGTGGAGATACTTGACTTAATGTATACTTTCATTATTTTTGTCATCAGCTTATAATTGATAATAATGATTGATTTAAATCACTCAAACAAAATTGTATCAATGACTGTTGATTTAAATTTTGATATGGACAAAATACGACCTCAATTTTCAAAGTGGTTAACTGTGTGAAATAAAACCAATGCATTGCAACCTTTTTTCATCACGCATGTTGCGTGATAAAAAAAAGTCTGAAACTACTGATTATAAAAACAATCGATGCAGAAATGTCTTATTACGAATTTTCTCATCTGCCCGATGTTTTTTTATGATAACTTACATATGCTATTTTTGGTTTGTTTCAATTTTCACAATTCAGAAACTATTGTACCTATTAATTTTTCAATATAGCGTTTCCTGAAGATATTCAAGGACTCATGATATTGGATCATTGGAATATTTTCAGATATAAGAAAAGCTTTTGATGCTATATCTCACTCTAAAATTCTCGAGAAACTAACACATTTCGGAATAGAAGGTGTTTGCCTTGAAATTTTTCGGAGTTACTAAAGAAACACAAAACAGTTCGTAAAAATAAATGAATATAAGAGAAAACTCCAAGTAACAAAGTATTGTGTTCCTCAAGGCACGGTTTCAGGACGTGTTCTTGTTTTTTGATGGTAATCTATATTCATATGCAGATGACACTATATTAGTAGTAGATGGATATAACTGGGATGAGACCATATCAAAGGCTGAAATTGACACTTAATATCACGAGATCTAAATTCATAACATTTTCGTGTAATTGAAAATATCAACCAAAATTTGATGGATGGAATAAAAATATATTCTTCGGAACCGAAAAAAATTATTTTCAAAAATTCAATTGCACTCTAAAATTGAATAAAACCTCAGAAAGTAATATGAATTGATGTCCGGAAACAAGTTCATATATACTTTTTTTCTTAAAATTGTCTCATGAATACCTCACTTGAATATTTTAACGTACTTATGTTACACCCTGTATAATGTCAGGTCAGACAATTCCGCTTTCTTCTTCGAAAAGTTTTTTGGGGGTTAAAATGGTCACCAACATGTCTTGGCACAGTCGTGTCACTGGAATTGCAAAGGCTGCTTACCAAAAGCTTGGAACATTGTTTCGAACCAGAAAACACCTCAGTTGAACAAATATGTTGATTGATATATTTCTTCATTTCAATTCATTATTTTTTTTATGAATAATACCTATTAGCAGTCGACATAATCTTCATTTTTCGATAAAATCAGTCAAACACAAGTGATTATACTCAGCAGACTGTGATGAAATATGCTTGTACTAACATTTAAAAAAATATTTATAGACATTCATTCGATAGTGTACATTTGTTAATAAATTTGAATTGAATTTGAATTTCGAATCTCCCATTTCTAGTGAAACATTAGTTTAAATGGAAATTGACGACCAGGAAGTCACCAGTGTTATTAACAAATTCTAATATGCGGAAGAACAACAGATATGTTGAATAAAAATTGTTGATGAACTAGTATCGATTGTTTATCCAAACAACCACGTCTTGTAACCTAATGAACCAACCACGTGCTTGCTTCACGAAATTACTAACCAAAATATTCATTTTCGATACAATTTTGGAATAGCCCAGCAGGCTGTGATGTAACGAAAATATAAACAAACGATATTCGAAAATTCTTTTGTTCATGACTATTAGATAAATACGGCAGAACTGAAGTTGCTAACTTAATTGGTGTTTCTCTTCCTTTTGAGATGTACTCGTTCAACCACCTTTTTCGAGTGTGGGTTCTTTTGATAGCCTTAACCAGTTTTTATAGTGGTGAGTGATAATGATAAAACATGAGTTTGGATTAACATATTATGTGCATCTGATTCTTCCTTTGAAAATCGAGATCATTGTTCATTTTAGTATTCTTAATTTTTTTTTCTTATTAGTCAGTGGGCTTGAAGACTGGCAGTAAACAAATATAAAGAAATTAACTTTAAACGTTCGAGCTAGTCTTGGATACACCTACACAGTAGGTTCAATAGACTGACGCCCATCAGAAAACAACAACTCCCCTGGTTAATACCACGAAGGGCGTTGGATTATATCCGACAGGCGTCAGCGAGTGAATCTTCACAGAAAGTATCCTGCATATGCAATTAGCAATACAACTGAAAGGTCGATCTACAATTTTGGAAGGGGCACACTTGCAGACCGGTTTCGGGCTCATTAGCTACTCGTCAGTGCTAGATAGTGGCCATCATCGACCTAAAGTCAATGATATTCCATAATTGAAATTTATTATCAGCCGAAAGGGTATGGAATTGAAAATTTATATTCTTTCAGTGTTTGATTCCTCGTCTTAAGTTTAAGCGAACATAAAAAATGTCACTCCATCTAGTGGACGAGGTACTAACCAACTGCATATCCGTAATTTGCCCCGACATTTCGAATATGGTTAGTACCTGGTCCACTAGATGGAGTGACATTTTGTTGTTCGCTCTAACTAAGGATGAGGAATGAAATACTCTGAAATAATTCCGATTTTCAATTATGGAATTTGACTTAGGGTGATGTTGGCCACTATCTTGCACTGACGAGTGGCTAATGAGCTCGAAACCGGTCTGCAAGTGTGACCGTTCCAAAATTCAAGATCGACTCTTTCAGTTGCATTGCTAATTGCATATGCAGGAAATTTTCTGTGAATATTCCTGCACTGACGCCTGTCGGATATAATCCAACGCCCTTCGTGGTATTAGCCAGGGGAGTAGTTGTTTTCTGATAGGCGTCAGTACATTCAACTTACTGTGTAGGTATATCCAAGACTGGCTTGAACGTTCAAAGTGCATTTCTTTAGATTTCTTAATTTTTGCAGAACCCTATTCACTGAGTTATTTACTGTAACTTTGAAAATTGACTGGTCATTATGAAAATCTGGCAACAAACAAACCAATCAACGAATATTCAGGATTACGGGATACTTTTTATCTTTTGTAATTGGAAAAATATCGAATGATGTACTTATTTCTTTGTACTTTTCACTTACTTGACGTGCATATATAAATTGAACTCAAATTACTATCTATTCGAATGTCACTCACTCATTCATCTCCGTTTCTCCGTACTGGTAAGTCCTAGGAAGCTAAAATTTCGTATATACGAGGTCCGGCTATTAAATAACTAGACTGGGCGCCTAGAGAGCGCTCTAGAGGGGTGGGGGGAAAACGAGTAGTGCGTTGGGTATCTGGAAATCTTCTCTATTTACGTAACAAAACACGTTTTCGTCACTATTATAGTATGGGTGCAGTAGCAGTTGTTTTTTTTCGAGCCACTGAGTGTGTACTATAAATTGTTGCAAGAGGCCTATGGGGACCATTCTCTATCTCGTGCGCGTGTTTTTGAGTAGTGTAAGCGCTTCAGTGAGAGCCGAGAGAGCAAGGATGTCCAAATCAAAATTCAGGGCAATGTTGATCGTATTTTTCGACATTAACGGTATCGTGATGACTCAATGGGTTCCATAGGGTCAGACTGTCAACCAGAGTTACTATTTGTCAGTTTTGGCAACACTGCGAGAACGAGTTCTTAAGAAACGGCCCGAGTTGTGGATGAACAACTCGTGGATTTTGCACCAAGACAACGCACATGCCCATAACGCGCTATCTGTGATGCGATATTTGGCCGATGAACGCACTCCAGTGCTCGAACATGCGCCAGATTTGGCACCATGCGACTTTTGTTTCCGAAGATAAAATCTGCCTTGAAAGAGCCCGATTTGAGTCAGAGCTCCTGAAGGCCCTCACCAAAAAAAATACTTCCAGCGCTGCTTCGATTAATGGATAAAACGTATGGAAAGGTGTGACGAGGGGAGGGGAGTATATTTTTTGAATAGACCTCGTATAACAATGCCGGCATGAAAACGTTCGAAGAAAATGTTTAATAATTCCTCCTTGAATAACTAGCTATGTTAACAGTATGATACACAATGAAGCAAGGACAAACATAATGGGACATCGACTTGTTGCTTGTTGCTAAAAAAAGTTTGGAAGTAGCGTTTCAAATTCACGATCCATGGAAAATCTGTTGAGGAAATATCTGTACATGAGTTGATTTGTCCCGTTTCCTGCATTGGTCATACGGGGGTAATATTTCAAAAAGAATTGAAAAACATAAAAATAGTTTTTTGAAAGAGGTTAGGTAAGGTTAGGTCCAAAGTGAGTGAGTCTATTCGACCCTCCATCGCAACCCGCAAGGGTTTATTGTGGCTCACACCTATTCACACTTAACAAAATAAACCCAGCTTCTTAACGAAGCCCGTTTAGTTTGTATGGTGAGTGGTCTTTCAGGTCAGATGGTAGAGATACGGCTCTGCCGAACTCTAAAAACCTGATTCGGTCCCCAGCGGGGCAGGCACAAAGTATGTGCTCTGCTGTTTCATCATTTTCCTCGGACTGTCTTCCGACAGTCCGAGTCTCTGCATATGATGATTCAAATGACAGTGACCTGTAAGAAGGCCTGTTAGACACCGTAGTTGATCCCTACTGTAGTCCAACAACTGTTTGGTATCGAGCCACGAAGGGTGAAAAAACGTCTTTGAGTGGAAGATTCTGCCAGAAGTCCTGGTGTTCCAGGGAGTCAGCAGCCTCATTGCCTTCTAGGCCAGTATGGCCAGGAATCGAGACCAGAGACAGTCTGTTACGTCTTTCTATTGAGAAGTCATTTTTGGCAATTTGCTACCAATTTAGACATTGCTCGATAGGAGCCAAGAGCTTCAATCGCCGCTTGACTGTCCGAGAACATTTGAAAGGAACATAATAATTCAACATTGGTGAAATATCCTTTGGTAGAAAAGAGTGAATCAAACTGAGAGTATGTCTGAAGATTTTAATGAAACAAATCCATAGAAATCCAAGGATTCGTTGCAGTTATACAGTATGAATATAACATTAACATTTTTTAGCCGCAAGAATAATTGATAAAAGATCGTTAGATAAATGGACTTTGAAACATTTAGCTGCACCTGTACTTGATGCAGAAAAATTATCAGGAGAGAAACACGATTCTGGGTCGACGGGAGATAATTTCTCGGGCGATACTGGACACCATGGAGAAGAAAAGTTCCACAAAGTTATAGGTACGTATACAAAACATATTCTCCACCGTTGTTAGATGGAATCCAAGTTCAGTGATATTGAAAAAATAACATGGAAAACTTGCATGGAAGGGAAATGGAAGTTTTTCTTCAGGGTGGTCATTAATGGTAATATTTCATAGTGGAATTTCTCTAATTTCAAAAGGAAATTTTACATAAACATATATTCCTAAAGAATATGACTTTCTGGCATACCTATTATGCTAAAGTTTTTTGAATCGATATTTTAAACAACCTGAAGAATTGGTACTCCATTTTGGAACTCTATGTATTTTTTTGTGTCCAATATTGGCAAAAATTAACTTGTAGAGAAAACGTATACGTTCTTGATTTCAGAAAAAGTAAAAGATGCGGAAATAACGGGGCACTTGATACACAAAGGGAAACATTTGATTAAAAAAGCCATGGATAAAAAGAAAGTGGAAGGAAATTCAAAGGGCAGCGGAAACAATATCATTTCGGCATATGGTAAATATGGTTTTTTGTAAGATTCAATCATTTGAAATAGTGAGTGTACAGAATTTTTTATTATTTTTCATCAATGCAATACTTATGGTTTAATGTATATTAAGAAACGTTTTGGTAAAATATGAGGTTGTTTAAAAAGTTTTGTCCATTTTTATGACTTTACTTTGAACTGTAATATCTCAGTGAATACTTATACAATTTATTCAAAAAGAGCAATGATTTAGATCATTGTACTTGTAGCAAAAGTCGATTAATTCTGTGAGCATAAACATTGTGTGCTCGATGTGTGGGATTCGATGAAGTTGACGAAGACCATTTTTCCTGGCCCTGATTGGCGAAGGTTCTGTCTCTATACCTATCTATTACCGTTCGGAAGAAATAATTGGTAAAATATGAGGTTGTTTAAAAAGTTTTGTCCATTTTTATGACTTTACTTTGAACTGTAATATCTCAGTGAATACTTATACAATTTATTTAAAACCAGCGCCATTTAGATCATTGTACTTGTATCAAAAGTTGATTAATTCTGTGAGCATAACATTGTGTGCTCGGGATTCGATGAAGTTGACGAAGACCATTTTTCCTGGTCCTGATTAGCGAAGGTTCTGTCAGTGAGTGGTACAACCCCCAATTTTTCAAATGGGAAGTATAGGTTTGTGATATATCGTTTCATGTTATCGCTTTCAAGTTTATTGAAACAATTAAGATAAAATAAATTAAAATCATGTTGTTACCGAAATTCAATAAAATACACTCAAAAACTAAAATGTAATGCAGAACGTAATGAAGTGTAGAATACAAAAAAGAACTATGGATGTTACCGAAGTAGATGTTTAAAATGTTCACCGCGAACGTCTTGGCAATATCCAAATCTGAAATAAAACTGTCTTCTAACATTATATAACATATCAGGCGTGACCGACCTAATCGCAAGCGTTTTTCGTTCTGTTAAGTCATTCAAATGTGAAGGTTTAGTTTTGTACACATTGCTCTTTACATATCCCCATAAAAAATCTAATGATGAAAGATCAGGTGATCGCGCTGGCCATTCAATCGATCCTCGCCTCCCTATCCATTGATTGGGAAATGTATCGAGGTATTGCCGGACATTAATTTGCTAATGTGATGGTGGTCCATCCTGCTGAAACAATATCGTATTCACTGCTACTTGAGGGTTTCTTGGATCAGGGTAAAATTTGCTAAATTTGGAATGACATCATTTTGAAGTAAAGCCAAATAAATATCGCCATTCAAGTTGCCCTCAATGTAGAGACAAAGAAAACTCAAAAATAAGTTCTTCTATCAAAATCGTTTTCCATGAGCTCTTGAGTAGGTATCATTTTTGTTTTCTTTCAATATGTTTACCATCGATGTATGGTCGACATTGAATGTAGTGGATGCCTGTCTAATCGATGTATGTAGGTTTTCCTCAAACTCAAGCATCACATCTAATTTGAGTTCATCACTCATTGCATTGACTGCTTTTTTTATTTGCTTATTGTGCTTGTTGTTCCTTGAGATATGGGCAGTAAATTAGGAATTTTCTCATGAAATAGGCGAGCTACTTCCTGCTGTGTTCGGGTTTTATCGCCGTAATCAATCATTTGTAAAATTGTTATTTTATGCATTTCCGTTAATCTAATCATTTGTCAGACTTGAAGTTAACGAACTTCACTGACATCTAATGTCGTAACATACAAAAGTTGACAAGGTGTTTTAAAACAACTTTGCCACGGAATTTTTTTACAGTTTATTAAAGTATACCATTTAAAAAAAACAGTACTATGATTTTTGCTTGCTTTCTCATTATCAATATCTCATCACAAGCCTATACTTCCTATTTAAAAATTAGGGGTTGTACCTGTCCTTCATTCGACGTGAGTAGAAGGTATTGGTAGTATTTTTCCGTTGAGGTATGCCAAATTATAATTTAACTTTCACGTGTTTGGGGATTTTGTTAAAATATGTACCTTAACCGAAATAATGAATCAATTCCATTTGGCTTTTATACACTGTGTAGCTTTATTGTTGAATTCTCCATACATTTGTCACTGGAAAGAGTAATTATTGAACAGACAGTATACGATTCTCTCTTTCTCAAAATTTTGAGAAAATTTTCCAAGTAGGTAACAATGAAAATTCATTCAATAAATGAACTCTTGAGGTCAAGAAATTAAAAAACATTTCCAATATGTCTATTTCCTAAATTGCATGAATTAAAATTTTATATTTTTTTCAATTGAAATTGCACACTTATCTGGAGCTTCATTTGTCACGAAGTACCCATTATAAACTGTATAGTGGATGTTTTATGGATATAAAACTATAAATGAGATTCAATAATAGATCTGTACACTTGAAATTTTAGTCAATTCTTGTTGGAAATCCTATTTTGAGTAATTTTTCCTGAAATTTATGTCATTGATTGAAATTCAGGCACCCACCTGAAAATGAGGCTACAAATTCACATTTTGACGCAAGTCATAGTTTTTCATTCTCGATAAATATATTTCTGGAATTTGATGTAGTCGATTCCAAAGTATCATCATGCAACCTACCTGGGTAAAATTTCAAAAGTTGAATTCAACAATTCCAGAAGATTTCACAGATATTATTCATATATGAAATGAATTTAACTAGTCCCCGAACAGATCCTTGTGTAATAAAATATCTAGTTACAAAATTGCATGATATTTTGTCATTCAATCATGTGACTTCAAACCTACATACTACATCAGACATGAAATGTTATCTACTAGTTGCTTGTTTTACAGTGAAAGCTGCTATGTTTTGTTTCAGGATCTAACAAGTTCAACACAATGAAAAATTTGATAGAGATAGAAATCAATTGTGACCATGAAGAACTTGCAGCACAGTGGAAAGTTTTATCGCTTCTGTTGAAGGAAATGACCAAACCCAAAGGATCCCAAGAAGACGATAAAAAAGATACCATGAAGTATTTTGTTGGAAAGGGATTGAAACTAGGGAAGGTCGTGGAGTTTTTGACTGCGGAGGCCATAAAACACGAATCTATAGACCTGGTAAAAGAATTATTGGAACTTAAAAACAAATATGAACAAGAAAAGGGGACAGACAAAATAGAGAAAGTGAAAGAATTGTTAGAAAAAGTCACCTTGATAGGAGCAAAAATATTCGAAATGGAGAAGAAACACGACAGTGAAAGCGAAGAAGACAACAAACAAAAAATATTCGAACATATTGGAAAAAAAGCTTCGAAATCTGTAAAAGATATTTTGAAGAAACACAACTCAGGAAGTGAAGAGGTCCACAAACCCCATTTTCTAGGTCTCATCAAAGACAGTGGCGAGCACCTTAGAGAGAATGTGAGTCACGAGGTAGAAATGGAAAAGAAACTGGATGAAACAGTAGGAGAAGAGAAAGACTGTGACAAGACTATCAGAGGTTTTTTGGCAGAGCTTAAAGCAGTTGGAAAAAAAATTCATGAAATTAAAGAGAAGAATGAAGAGAAAGATGAAGATCGCAAAAGGATGTTCAAGCACATCGACGAAATAAACGAAAAAATTCATGGTATTTTAAAGAAACACAATACAACTGAAGATGAAGAGAGTTCGAAAGAAACGGAGAATAAACTTCCTATAGCAGATAAAGCCAAGCACCAAATGAAAGAATTCAAAGAAGATATTGTCGACGACGTGAAGGAGAAGGGAGGAAAAGTAGTTGAAGGAATATGGCATTTTGTGGAAAAAACCAAGAAACTGCAGAAAATGAAAAATGTAGGTGATTCAACTGAAGACCAATTGAAGAGAGTATTCAGAGATGAGGAGAAGGAGGATGCAGATAAGGTAGAAAATGATAAAAAACTAATAGGAGGCTTTAAACATCTGATAGAAAGGGAAAAGAAACTACACGACATAGCTAAGGAAGGAGACATAATCAAACACGTATTTAAAAAGGTTTTCAAACACAAAGAAGGAGATGATGAACATGGTATCATAGAAGAAACTTTGGAAAAAGGTAAAGAGCTTGTTGGAAGTTTGAAGCATGGTGAGGAGAAAGCAATCAATGGTCTGAGGGACATCATAGAAAAAGAAAAAACACTCTACGAAATAGAACATGACATCGATCTCATCAAACACGTATTTGATAAGGTATTCAATCACCACAAGAAGAAGAACGAAGAAGAATTGTGCGAGGATGAAGACGAAAGTGGAAATAAACTCAAAGAAACGTTCAAACACTTAGCACAAAAAGGGGCGAAACTTTATGGGGGTGGTTTCATCACACATGCGATTCATAAAGTTATAAAACATGAGAAGAAGGAAGTTGAAGGTGAAAGAGGTGAAAGTCAGGAAGAAGAAGAAGAAAACAAAATGCATAAAGCCTTTGACGAATTTGAACTTGTGATGAAAAAATTAATGAAACTTTACAAAATAGAACATGAAGCCGATTTCATTAAGCATGTATTCGAAAAAGTTTATAAACACGCCAAGAAAGAAGATGAAGATTCAAAAGATGAGGAAGGAAAGAAACACAAAACATTTAAAATTTTCAAACAGAAAATAGAGAAATTGCTGAAAAGCAATAAAATAGAACACGACGAAAGTTTCATCGAACATTTATTTGGGAAAGTTATAAAACACGAAAAGGAGGAAATGGTGGATTCACTGGAAAATGAGAAAGAACATGACAAAAAATTTGACAAATTCAAACACAGCGTGGAGAAAATGATGAAGCATCACAAAATAGAACATAAAGGCGATTTCATTGAACACTTATTTAAAAAAATGGTGAAAAATAAAAGGAAAGAAAGTAGCGAAGAATGTAGTAGTGAAGAACACGAGGAAACTGAACATAAAAAAGAATTCATGAAGGATGCAAGAGAAAAAGGGAAGGAAATTATTGGAGACATTATGGAGGCAGGAAATAAATTGGTTGCAGGAAAGGCAGTGAAACATTTATTTGAGAAGACGGTAAAACACGAGAAGAAAGAAATTGAAGTAAAATCAATGAATCATACAATGAAAGAAAGAAAAAACCTTGTTGAAAATATGAAGCATGTTTTAGATAAGGCAAATGACAAAATTTTCAAACACGATGAAGAGGAAGAGAAGAAAGGTCTCCTGAAAGATGTCTTGGAGAAAGGAAAGAGAATCATTGGAGGTATTAAAGAAAAAGAAAACCATTTCGATGAAAAAAAAGATAGTTTCAAAGACCACGTAAAAAATCTGGCAAAACATAAACTGGAATTCAAAGTTGTGAAACACTTGATTGATGAAGTAACTGAACACAAGAAAAAAGATAGCGAAGAAGAATGCACCGAAGATTCGATTGGAAAAGGTAAAAAAATTGTTGAAGGTGTGGGACATATTATAGAAAACGCTAAAGATAAGGTTTTCAAGCATGACGAAGAAGAAGATGAAGGAGGATTCATGAAAGGTGCATTTGAGAAAGGAAAGAAAACCGTTGAAGATTTAGCAAAACATACACTAGAGTATAAAGCTGTGAAACATTTGATTGATAAAGTAACTGAACATAAGAAAAAAGATAGCGAAGAAGAATGCACCGAAGATTCGATTGGAAAAGGTAAAAAAATTGTTGAAGGTGTGGGACATATTATAGAAGACGCTAAAGATAAGGTTTTCAAGCATGACGAGGAAGAAGATGAAGGAAGATTCATGAAAGGTGCATTCGAGAAAGGAAAGAAAATCGTTGAAGATTTGGCAAAACATACACTAGAGTATAAAGCTGTGAAACATTTGATTGATAAAGTAACTGAACACAAGAAAAAAGATAGCGAAGAAGAATGCACCGAAGATTCGATTGGAAAAGGTAAAAAAATTGTTGAAGGTGTGGGACATATTATAGAAAACGCTAAAGATAAGGTTTTCAAGCATGACGAGGAAGAAGATGAAGGAGGATTCATGAAAGGTGCATTTGAGAAAGGAAAGAAAATCGTTGAAGATTTGGCAAAACATAAACTAGAATATAAAGCTGTGAAACATTTGATTGATAAAGTAACTGAACATAAGAAAAAAGATAGGGAAGAAGAATTCACCGAAGATTCGATTGGAAAGGGTAAAAAAATTGTTGAAGGTCTGGCAAAACACAAATTAGAATATGGAGTTGTCAAACATTTCATTAATAAAGTAATTGAACACGAGAAAAAAGATAGCGAAGAAGACAGTACTGAAGATACGAAAAAAGGAAGAAAAATTGTTAAAAGTATAGAGCATGCTGTAGAAAAAGCAAAGAAGAAATTTATTGAGCATGAAAAAGAAGACAGTGAAGAAGAAAGTAAAGAAAATTTTGATACAGGAAAAGAAAATAAGATCAGGAGAATACTTGGTGGTTTTATCAAAACAGTGAAAAAAGATCACGAAAATGAACATAAAAAAAAGAAAATCGAAAAAACATTTGATGACTTCAAAACCACCATGGAAAAACTTATGAAACACCACAAAATCGAACATGAACATGATTTCATTGAAGGACTTCTTGGAAAAGTTTTGAAGCACGGAAAGAAAGAGGATATTGAAGAATTCATTAAAGAAGCGTTGAAATTTGGTGGATTCAAAGCTACTATGGAAAAACTGATGAAACATCATAAAATTGAACATGGACATGATTTTATTAAACACCTTCTTGCTCGCGTTGTGAAACATGGAGAGAAGGAAGCGAAAGAAGAACTTCTTAAAGAAACTCTGGAAGAAGGAAAAAAACTCATTGAGGGAGCTGTTCTGGTCAAGGGTACTATAGAAGCTGGAAAGAAAATTGTTGGAGGTGTTGATCATGTTCTAGAAAAAGGAAAGGAGATCAAACCAGCAATCAAAAAAATTTTTGGCAAACATGAAGATTCAGAGGAGTGTTCGGAAGAAATGGATGGAAAGTTAGTTCGAGGATTCAAACACCTCATAGAAAAAGAAAAGGATCTACTTGGACTGGGAGCTAGCAGCAACTTTGTCAGATATCTGTTTGAAAAACTCAACAAGTATCACAACGAAAATTTCTTTGGGGGAGCAACAGACGAAAGGAAGGAATTCCTAGATTGTCTTGAGAGAGACAGAAAGGAGAAGGAAAAAGAGAGAGAAAAAGAAATGAAGCACTTCCTAGGAGGAGGAATAGACCACCAAAGGCACCTACTCAAAGCGAAATTGGAACACGGAAAACAGAAAATTGAAGAACCCTTCCATGTTTTGTTTGACAAACTTCACGAAGTTGAGCAAGCTGGCAAATACATTAAAGATGTCTTGCATAAGAAGGATGGTATGGAGCATGAACACTCTGGGCTCTTTGGTGAGTATTATTGAGTTTTTTGCTATTTCAAGCTCGTCGAGTACATTCTCATTTACTCGAAAGAAAAAGTCGATTGTTTCCCAAATTCTGTCTGGTTGTATTAATGGTGAAAAACTTGTCCGTGAAATATCAATTCGATATTGTTCATGTGTTTTGGCTCAATCATCTTCAATGAATACTTCTCCGTAATTTCCGAGAGAATATATATATTCATAAGTGAAATGAATTTTAATTAATTTCGATTTTTTCAATTTTCCAAAGAATGACAATTACTTATAAAACATCCAGTATCGATTTATTAAGAATTTTTAAATTAAGAACAAAGGCTTTCACAGCCGTGGTCACGAATAAAAAAAAACAAAATTTGAGGTGGTAGGCCGTAGTTGAATGAAACTTGAAGTACCCAACGTTTCGTCTGCTACTACGCACATAACACTGATGATATCTCCCGCAGTAGTATACTAAACGTTTAGTACAATAAGATCCCATTCGACTACAGCTTACCACCTCGGATTTGGTCGTCTTTGATGAATTTGAATTCATTCGACGAAGAAAGATATTTTCTTTTAAAGAGGTTTTGGAATCAGAATTTCCATTCCAATTGACACAATTTACAAACAATGAATTGAAGGGGTTATATTTTTTAATGAATTTTAATTCATTTGGATTTTTTCAATTTTCCGAAGAATGACAATTATAAAACATCCAGTATCAATTCATTGAGAATGTTTAAATTAGGAACAAAGGCTTTCACAGCCGAATAAAAAAAACAAAATTTGAGCTGATAGGCCGTAGTTGAATGAAACTTGAAGTACCCAACGTTTCGCCTGCTACTACGCACATAACACTGATTATGTCTCCCGCAGTAGCATACGAAACGTTTAGTATAATAAGATCCCATTCGACTACAGCTTACCAGCTCGGATTTGGTAGTGTTTAATGAATTTGAATTTATTCGACGAATAATAGCGTTGCATAAAAATATCTTTTCTTTTAAAGAGGTTTTGGAATCAGAATCTTCATTCCAATTGACAGAATTTTCAAACAATGTCTTTGAATTGTATGGTTATTGATGAAATCAACATATACCTATTGATTTGTGAGTGTATCTATAGCAGATTGACTTTTTCAATTTTCTCCTTACCTCTCCGATTTGCAAAATCTTGATGTGTTGATTTATTTACAATGTTCACCACAAAAAAATCGATCAGCTCCTTGAGAATAGTTACAATAAAAATATGAAACGGTTCCCTGAGAGCGACCCAAACGCATCTTCTCACTTTGTCTAGCTGAGAGTAATAATAATAATAATAATGTTTATTCACTAAATATAGATAAAAGCTGTATATAAGTCTCAAATATAAAAAGGAGTAAATAAACAACGGCATCACGAAGGGGTGTTCCCCGTACCTGACATAGCCATAGTACTTGAATTGACTCCATTTGACCGTCGATTGAAATATAAATCCTCCACTGATTTTCTCCTCTTTTCGTGGAGCACCATTTTCACATCCCTCATACGTTGTTTCGCAGAGAATACAGAATGTTTCAATTGAGGCGAACATCAAACAACAACAACGCGATGAAACCAATCATATTTTGTAAATGTGCTACCTTAATGTCTCTCAATCAGTTAGAACATTATGTATGAGATCAATTTTCAGTTTCAAACACACTTTGTGAGAAAAATTAATGTCACTAGGGGTGTTGGTGTGAATATTAAAATGATACTTTGATGCTGTCTAGCAATCCTCTTTTTTTCTCTTAAATCACCGATTACTGTCCTATCAAGTTTTTTTTAATCGTGAGATAGCTCTGATAGTACCAGAAACTAATGATCCTCACAACCTGGAGGATCCTAGTGCCATAAGCATACTTTCCGCGAAGGCAAAAGTGATGTTGATTATCTGTAGAGAAAATATCCGAATCAATTTCACCTCTGATGCAATATGTTATAACTCAATGTTATAACTCAATTGTTTATAACTTTTGTAATTTTTATCAGCGCGTTTTCGGACCTTTCCTTAAACTTTCTAGGCAAAAATACGAATCGAATGACTTCTTGGTCGTAATTTTTGGACAGGGCTGAAAAATCTTACAAAAAAAGTACATGTGAACTAGACTAAAGGTCTCATCCTATTCTCTTCTATTCATGACAGTCGACTTGTCAACTTAGCTACATATAATTTTTGTCATCTATAACATTTAAAAAAAAATATCATTTCTGAAACTGATTATCAGGCTTTTCTGCCACAGGCAAGCATAGCCACCACGATACCGATGAACATGGAGGAGTTCTGTCGAAACCGAAACAAATGCTGAGCAAAGTTTCTAGTGCCCTGCACTCAGTTGGGAAGCCTCTCTCACATACTGCGGTGTTTTTGAAGAAAGTCATTCCCATAAAAGAGGAAGAAAACGGCTCTGGCTGCGATTGTTGTTGCTGTTGCGAGGAGGATGGCGATAGATACCATGATCGGGCCCACCACCAAGTTTTCAATTACCGGCCAGGGAGTGATTTCGATGAGCTGTACTCCAATCCGAACTATCATTATCGGGGGAGGTATTTTGGATAATAAAGTGATATGCTGTTAGTTTTTATTTGATTCATTGAAAGGAAAATGTATTCGTTGCTCAGAAAAATTTTCATTACATAGTCAATAGTTGTAAATGAGACTCTTATGAGAGCTTTTTTCAAAAATATCAAATTCTCACTTTGGTAGGTATTTATAGGTTTATAATTGGTTTCAAAATAAATCATCCATAAGAAAGCAATATGTCTATATGCGCGACATAATTCGTTAAAAAAATTGGACCGGCATTGTTTCTTATATATTTTAATTCTTCGGTACAGTAGATTTATTTGAACAACAAATATTTGCTGATGACACCACTTTAATTTATAATGGAAATCTTGCAGAAGAAATGAAAATTAATATTTCAAAAGACTTTGATGAAAAGTTTTTACGGCTTTACTGCTATAAAATGTCACTGAATTTTCAGAAATCTTCATATACAGTGTCACACATAAAGTCCGCATCAAAAGGGTTTTTTTTGTTCATCTCTTCAAGCAACTNGAAACCAAAAAGAAAAATACAAGCGCATATCGAAGTCCCTTTCTTTTAATGTATTGATAAATTTCGGTTTATAAGGCGTAAATTTATTTTTGTGTAAAATACGTCGTACACTCTCTCGGTTAACATCTGTTCTATCTGCAATATCTTGAATACTTGTTTTTTTATGTTCTACGACATCCAAACATATTTCAAATTCCACTTCTTCAGTATGTCTAGAAGGCTGATGTGCTATTTTAAAATTACTCTCAACCGAGCCAGTAGATTTAAACTCAGCTATTATCCTACTAACTGTTGACTGATGAATATTTCTTGTCTGGCATTGAAAATATCAGCTACTTGTCGGTGACCGGTATTCTCGCCGCATATTTAAACGATTTCATTTTTAACAACACAAACATTCAAATCGATGGTGACCAACAACAACTCGACAAGATATTCAGGCAATTTGAAATTAATGAAAATGACAACAAATATTGGGCAGAATTCCATTTATTTTAAATGTATCCAGGTTTACAATAGACTACAGGATGCTTTAAATTTTTTTTAAACAAAAATTTCGAATTAATTTGAAAACTTATTTGTGATTTTATTTCATTCGTTGCTTTTCTCTTCGAGATACATCAATTCTCATCCTCTAAGAACGAGTATGACATATTGAAAAAGTTATGGATGAACAAAGTTGATGATACCATATCCAGTCTTCTGATCTAAGTTCCTAAATTTTTCCATCACAAATCACATTATTCCTGAAACAATTCGATCGATCTCTAAACCAATTTCTCGCAGTTATTCAACGAAAAAAACATCGTTTTCGAAACGTTATCAAACACTTTTCCCATTTGAAACAACTATACTGTCGTAACGATAAGACGAATCTTGGCAATAAAGAGTTTGTCACGTTCCAATATGGCTACTCGTTCCGAGCGAAATGCTCGGGCAGTAATCCAGTAACTCCCGTCATATAAACTCGAAATGGGTAGGAAGTTTGTTGCAAGTTTATTCCTCGCGTGGGTTGTTTCCTGCAGCGCAGTTGACGGTAAGTGGATTTGATGAAAACCCTGAGGAAATGCTACATGAAAAAGCAGAACGGATCATTGCGATGAAAGAGTAATAGAAAGGAACGGGGGTTGATGAAATGCAACAACTCGCGGTTTTTTCGTTTTATGATACCAATGGTACATTGAGAAGATGTTAAACCAGGTATGAAGTTAGTAGGGTGAAGAAGAGAGTATGGAGGTGCTGAAATGTGGTAACTTAAAATGTTTTTGGTTATTTATATTCGAATTACAAGACATAATCGTTCATATTGGTGTGTACTATCATTAATTCTCTCCCGTATGTTGCAAACGAAGAGCTTTTAACTTAAAAAAAAATCCTACTCCCTGTAAGTCATTTTTCTTCCGACCCGTGCATGAGACAGAAGTTTTGGGAGCGATTAATTCACTGAAGGACTCCAAAATGCTCAGATACCCATAAACTCAATAGTCGAATACTAAAGGACACCTCGTCTATAATAATTCAACCTCTTACTATACTGATCAATTTAATCTTATGTACTGGTATCTTCTGAACTAGTTTCCCTTTTTAAAAAGGGCGTTGAAAAAGCCATCGATAACTACAGACCAATAAGTATTATTTCAATATTCAGTGAAGTTGTTGAAATTATAATTAAGATTCAGCTCTATGCCTACTTTGAGAATAATAAATTTTTCAGCAACTCACAATATGGTTTCAGAAAGTCGCGCTCAACAATAGATGCAGTGTTCGACGTCGTGTCTGGCGTGATTGAGGAACTTGAGNATAAAGCTTTCAAAAACGTGAAACTTCTCCCTACCAAGCAGCAAATAGAGTGTATAACGTTCCTGTTTTCGGTATTGAGACGTCCACTTGACGTGCCTGAAGCTTTCCGGAAAGCGTGACAAATCGACGTAATATTATAAATCACCTCGGAACCGTTAACGATGTTTCGAGAAAGAGATCAGTTGCCAGCGAGTCGACAAATGATCAATATCAAGCCCTGGGAGTATCACAATCAAGATCTATATTTATCCTCTGACACGAAAGCCGCGCTGGATCATTAAGGGAGATTTAATCTCTGGATTGAGTTGGAATGCCGTATCGAGGGGGTCGGAGATAAGAGGTTTATTTGGAGGAGGGAGGTTGTGATTGAAATGGATGGGGGAAAAATGGAAATTGGCTGGTGGCGAAGTTTGAATACCAGAACGATAATTTTTCCCCAAAATTCTTGGATTTAATGAGATATTCGTGTATTTTCTTGATTTACTCATATAAACGTAACTAACTGCCTTATTCTGAAGCAGAGCCGGTTCTACAGCTTTTGGCGCTTGGACAAAACATAAATTTGCTCCTTCTCCAGAAATTTTCCATGCTCTTATAATGGTAGTTCTAAGAAATACAAAAACTTATGTAGAGAAATAGTTTTACGGAAACTTCAAATAACTTCAGCAGTTGAAAGTTAACGTATTTAGTCTACATCAATAGGGCGGCCATTAATAGCCCTCCTCCTTTCAACTTTTGAACAGACAAGATATCAGAGCTGTATAAAACCTTGGTGAAAAATGATCTCTTTTTCATTACTTTTTGATAAAAAAGCCAATCATGTGACATAAATTGTCACCACAAGGGTGCAATTATAATGAAAAAGGAAGTCCTATGACATTTCATATTGATCTTCACTTTTTATATTAACATAACCGGTTGCGGAGTGATTGATATTCGATTTTGGACTAGGACATTTGTAACTCCGCCACCTTATTTCGGAAACTCGAGATGAGTCAAATCAGGTCAACTAACAGGCCATTCCAAAAGGCCGCGACTACCAATCTACATGCCTGGGTATGTCTGATCCAACCAATCTTTCACAATGCTGTGAATCTTTCACTCGGGAAGCTGAATACACTCATTTGAATGAATGAATCGAAGAGTTTTGTATAGAAGTTCGTAATTACGAATTCTTATTGCAAACCGCTTTCGACTTTCGTCATCATCAGTGCTCACCAAAGCTAAGAAATTTATGGGCGCAACATCTTGTTGGTCATAGTTTTTCGAATCAGTGGGTGAATAAGGANATGGCACATGATTCTCGGACCTAATGATCACTTACCCCACGGTGTGGAGAGTGGTCATTGGTTGATAATGCTGGCGCGCCCTCCCGAATGTATCGGGGCTTCGGGGGATAGGGCCCCGTAGCGCAAACTACGGTGAAAACAAATGATAATAATGTTTATTCACTCAATATAGATCAAAGGTATACATAATTCTCAAATATAAAAAGGAGTAAATAAACAACGGCATCACGAAGGGGTGTTCCCCGTACCTGACATAGCCATAGTACTTGAATTGACTCCATTTGACCGTCGATTGAAATATAAATCCTCCACTGATTTTCTCCTCTTTTCGTGGAGCACCATTTTCACATCCCTCATACGTTGTTTCGCGGAGAATACAGAATGTTTCAATTGAGGCGAACATCAAACAACAACAACGCGATGAAACCAATCATATTTTGTTAATGTGCTACCTTAATGTCTCTCAATCAGTTAGAACATTATGTACGAGATCAATTTTCAGTTTCAAACACACTTTGTGAGAAAAATTAATGTTACTAGGGGTGATGGCAAAAGTGATGTTGGTTATCTGTAGAGAAAATATCCGAATCAATTTCACCTCTGATGCAATATGGATTTGAAAGAGGACATATTTGTACTAGCACTTTACTTGTGTCTTGGTGCAGCGAGGATCGTTAGAGCACCCCCTGCCGGGTGGGGACGCATCTACCAAGGTGACTTCATCCCATTCTTGCCGAAACTATGTTTCACCTGAGCCTACTAAGTGTTTCTAGAGGAATCTCCGAGATACCGCGCACCCTCTTGTCTTAGAAAATCTTGTCGGGGTAATGCGAAGCTCTGCCGAGATGAACCTCCTCTAGTTACTCGTGGGACCTCTTTGAGGAACATGAAGTAACCAAGAAATCGACCTTGTGACTACAGTGTAAACAACCCCCAACTACACTTTCCGTAACATCGGAGCTAGAGCTCCTCATTTCCACAACTCTCGATCTTTCTCCTTCAGGAGTGGGAACAAACTTCTCCGAGAAGGTCAGAAAATGTTACCGTTCAAACGAAAATTCGAGAAGATCATTTCTCTGAAATGCGTCACTGTAGACCTATTTCCCATGTCACATATTTGTGTTGTTCACCATGGTCTGTCAACTATGTAGTAGATTATTCTTCACAGGAAAATATGGGCTCTGGTATCTCTGACACTTTTTAAAGCATACGAGACTATACATTAACTAACACATGGTATAGACTCTTTCAATAATTATTTGCGTGGGCTGTATCAGAGTATGACAGGAATATGACTGGACACAACAAGTCGGATATTCTCGTATTGAAGTCTGGAATACTTACTACAAGTAGTCTTGTTCACATGTACTCGATTTAGCTCTTTTTGGTGACATTTTTCAGCTCTGTCCAAAAATCACGACCAAGGTGTCATTCGATTCGTATTTTTGCCTAGAAAGTTTAAGGAAAGGTCCGAAAACGCGCCGATATTATGTAGCAGTTTGTTTGGTCTGAGCAGTTCAGATATTTCGCCCTTCGTTTGTTTTTGTCTATCACTGTCTCATTCATTTTTTCTTTTCAATGTTCAATATTATATTTCATTTTTGCCTTTGGATAAAATTCCCGTTTTATACCGTATACTCAAATATTTGGGAAGCTTTAACATCTTGAGCGATTATCAATATAGGTTTCGGAAACAAAGATTAATAGGCGACCTTCTTTCGTATGTGACCCGTATACTTTCTTTTCTCCATCCTTTTTTTCCATCACATCACATACTGAATTCTTCTTCATCCCTTTACTAACTGATCCATTGTCATCAGTTCAAACAGCAACATTTTACGTCTTCTTGATAATGCTGAAACCTTGATGACTAAAGCGGAAGCTTGGTTCTCTGCCAATAATCTTCGATATTTTTGAGATCTTTAAAATGATGCGTTACAAGATAGGGGGTGCTTTTTAAAATTATCAAGTGGGGGTAGCTAGGGTTAAGGGGGTTAACCCTAAAATACCACTGGCACTGGTTTTAAACTTCCACCACGATATCTAAATTGACATGTTTTTTGCCTACGGCAAATTCTCCCTGCTAAACGAAGTACTAGGGGTGGGAAGTTTTGAAATTAAGGCACTGTATAAGCAAATATAAGCAACCTCTTTCTGGCTTCCAGACTCTAGTCTTTGGCAGACCTCTGGATGGTCTGAAGAGCTTCTTTCACCGACTGATGGTCTTGTTCTGTGACTTCAGTGTTCTCTAGTAATTCGAGAAAATATCCTTCACGCATGGAAAATGATTGAATAATCGGTAGAAATAATTTATCAATTTATGAAGAGTTTAATCTTGGACTAAAGACTATATTCCAGACCTTACAAGAGAGAAAGAGCAAGTTTAATGTACTGTGGTATCCATGATTTCTTCATATCTGGAAAGAAACGCAATTTAAGGTAATTTTTTTTGGGCGAAAGATTTTGTGGCAGTCTTAGAGATCTCTTCAGCGATTCGAATCCAATGTGAATCACTACTTTCGCCCTGATAGCGCCTTAAGGATTTTTCTATAGTGCTTGTGTTTTGTCCTTAAAAAAGGGATAGTTCTGATATTATCAATCATTACTTTTTATAGCAAAACCTACATCATGAAGGTGTTAGTATCAACGTGAGTGATATCAGTACTCAAAAACAACTATCGGTTGAAAATTCCTTAGTGATGAAAAGAGCTAAAGTACTGAGCCTTCCAGCATATTTGAATCAATCATGTAACTTCAAGCAGATTATTTAGTGATACATTAAGAATCAGATATTGAAGTCAGTAGAAACTTGAAGAACATTTGAAGAATATAGTGACCAAAACCTCATCCAAGTAAATATCAAAAACCAAAATACTTCTTTTTTCTAGACGAGCATGCAAAAACAAATTCTTGTACAAAACCAAAACTGTTTGTTGGTGTAGAATCTTCAAGTTTGATTTATCATTATACTCCTCCTTGTTTCAGGGATGAAGCTCATTCCTGTCTGGGGTTGGAATCTACCACAATTCAAATTCAAAGCTAAACGTCATTGTGTTGAAAAGACACACTCTTAGAGCCTTCGGAGGATTTCGAAAAATTCCCTGTCTGCATAAAAACATCATGAACTGAGAAACCAGTGTTTCAAAACAATATACACGTTGCTCCAACAATATTACGATTGCGATAATATTCCTTCCTGAATATGTATATAGAGACAAACATTCCATGTACTCCCTATTTTCACTTCTAATAGAGCAGCCCAAGCGAGGATTTCGGGATTTACTAAAGTGCGGCAGATTAATATACAGGGGGATACCTTATACCCGGTTAAGTACCTCCACCAAATGTGAGCCCCATATATAAGGATAAAGGATCAGATTAGTAAAAAAAAAGATCATCAGAAATTCTCGAGCGCCTCAGATTAAGGTAGGGTGAGTTAATTACATGCTAAAAAGTGTATATTCCAGTAATCTGACAATTTGAGAGTGACGTAAAGAAAAGGGAGGGCAGCAAAGTTGTAAAATAATAACGTCATTCTCGAGCGTAGCTCGAAATATAAGAAAATATTTTTTTTGTCAGATAAGGCGAATCCCTCTAGATAATCGTCAGATTATGAGACAGCACGTCTAGAACATAAAGATGAATTATATATATCTTAATCTGACGCGCACATTATAATAATGGCCGCGAGTTTGCGTCAGATCGAAATCGTCAGATTATTGAATGAGAGCTTTTTTTTGTTGTAATTACGAATTCTTATTGCAAACCGCTTTCGACTTTCGTCATCATCAGTGCTCACCAAAGCTAAGAAATTTATGGGCGCAACATCTTGTTGGTCATAGTTTTTCGAATCAGTGGGTGAATAAGGATTTCCTCTAGATATATAAGGGACCAACAATATTATTTATCAATATGTCTGTATAGACATTTATTTTCTCAGGAGTTTGAGTGTGATCTCCACAGGTTTGGAAAATAAGTGAAGTCATTTCCACTTTGAAACAGGTGAGATTATTGACATGACAAACTTTCGACCCATCACTTTGCGAAGAGCTTTTAGATATTTATTTATGATAGAATATCTTCTGAAGTAGGAAATTTAATGATTCCTGCACGAAATGGCTTCATCGCAACAAAATCTATCACAACTAATCTTAACACTAACACAAAAGATGAGTTGTCATTTAGAAAAATCAGCTTCAGGTAGACACAATATATACATACTTCTCGATTGCCTTCGACAAGTTGGACTACACCATACTCATTTCAAAACTCAATGAAATTCCTTTTGATTCAAATCTGATAAAATTCTTTCATTCCTATCTTACAAATCGGATTCAGTTTGTTGAATACAGAGAACACAAATCTGATGAATACAGTGCTATTGACAGGCGTAAAGACACGCCTCAAGAAGTTATTGTATAGCGAAACACGTGTTGCAAATCTGAAAATGAATTTCCTGATATTCCAGGATTTTCCGTAATACTTTCTAGCATTTTTCTTCATTTCCAACATGCTTTCGAAACGTTACTCAGCAGAATAATCGAATACGCTCATTTTGAAGGTTATAGTTCGGATTCATGTTGAATTCAATTGATAATCAAAGGAGATAGAAGAAAACAATGAAGGGTTTCTTTATCTTAAGATAATGATGAGTGGTTTTCAGTGGATGACGTTTAATTTATGTGATATAACAGTGATCTCCCATCAAGTCATCATAGCAGTACTGGTGAGTTTTATTTTATTTACTCGTATTCATTAATATAATTAGTTCTTCATTTCTATATAGTATTGAATTCGCTAGAAGAGATCTATAGTTTTGCAGATCATGTGAAGTCATTTTTACAGTTTATCAGAGCCAACATTTATATGAGATTATCCATTTCAACAAATTGAGGTACTTTCGTTTTTAACTTATGCATTTGTTATCAATATTATGTAATTATGAACACCTTGACTCTTTACTTGGGAAACAGTTATTATTTGAATATGTAAATTAATAAAATTTTATGAGAACAAGTTCAATGATAGTGAATGAATAACTTTCTGTTGGTCGTTTGAAAGAAAATTTGAATAATTAAGTTCATCGATTTTCAGATATTCAAGATGGTTTCAATTTTGTCATTCATATTCTGTATGTAATATGTCGTAGTCTATGTTGAAATCATGTTTATTCTCTATATTGTGGCAAGCATAAGTGGAATCAGTTTTCTTCAGCTCAAAACTTGTTTTATGTTCAGCGATTCTACGAGTATATAAACTTACCTATGGGCATGATTCACATGTGAGTTTGTAGATTCCTGATTTGCTCTCTTTCCGTCTTTCTGACTTGTTCTTTATATCTCTATCCAAGGAGTTACCAGTCTTATATGCTATGTTAATGTTCTCCTTTATCAGTAGTATTTTTATTTTATCCGATGATTTTTCTGTATATGTTTTCTATGTGTAAGTGTACTTTTTAATGTGGGGGTATATTTGGTTAATGTCCTGTTTGAAAAGTTTTTTCTTGAAGTTGTTGCAATTTGTTTTATCAAATTTGATTCCTTATTGGAATTGATGAGGGTGAATAATAGAATGGTTATTGACAGTTGTTTGTTGTTGATTTTTGTAATTGTGGGATCTGAAAGGTTTATCAAAATATTGTTTTAAAGTTCTGTTGTCAAATTTATGTTATTGTCGATGTGTTCCTGTTGAGCAGGTTATAACATCGTCAACATACCAGGTATACAAGGATATTACATGAATAAAGTTCACCCAATCCTTTCCTTTGAAATGACAGGTTGACATATTTTCTCTTTTTTTTGGTTGGCGAATGACATGAAATACAATTCATGAGGGTTCCTGAAATAGTTTCAAAAGAGAATGTTTTTTTGTTATTGAATGTGAGAAATCCAGAAAGTTTGACTTTGATTATGTAGCAGTTTGTTTGGTCTGAGCAGTTCAGATATTTCGCCCTTCGTTTGTTTTTGTCTATCACTGTCTCATTCATTTTTTAAATTACTTGTATTGAATAGGTTTCTTAGTATTGCATGCATTTCAAGAGTGTATAATTGCTGAAAGGTATCTCTTTTTCATTCAACCATCAATCTTTTCAATGTTCAATATTATATTTCATTTTTGCCTTTGGATAAAATTCCCGTTTTATACCGTATACTCAAATATTACGGAAGCTTTAACATCTTGAGCGATCATCAATATAGGTTTCGGAAACAAAGATTAACAGGCGACCTTCTTTCGTATGTGACCCGTATTTTGAATAACGTAATCGAGAAACATGGAGAATAAAGAGCTGTTGCTACGGCTTGTCGTAGCATCGACAACTGCGTTTATGTGAAATAAACTTCTTGAGAAAGTTTTCCCAAGTGAATTCAATCGCAAGCGGCGCTTCAAATCCATCGTGAGTCGCCACTTTCGCACAGGCACTGCTTTTAGAGCGCCGTAAGAATTTTCGTGTAGTGCTTGTGTTCTTCAATTATGATAATAATAATCCGCCATATCATTCAGACTTCTATTTTATTTTCGCCCCAGGGTTGTTAGATTTGGATTTTTCTCGGGATTTTATTTGATTCCTTTATTGTAAAGTTATTTCTTTCTCTATTTTGAAATTGATATCGTCTTCTCACTCTTGTATCACATCCTTCTTATCATCATGAATCTGGTTGTTCCAATGAGCTATTTGCCTAATTTCTTTTCTCCATCCTTTTTTTCCATCACATCACATACTGAATTCTTCTTCATTCCTTTACTAACTGATCCATTGTCATCAGTTCAAACAGCAACATTTCACGTCTTCTTGATAATGCTGAAACCTTGATGACTAAAGCGGAAGCTTGGTTCTCTGCCAATAATCTTCGACTGAATAAAGGGACGACACAAAACCTCATAATTTCCTGTAATAATCAGATCACGTTAGGTAAGCATTGTAAATTGCTTGGGGTTGTTTTAGATGATCGTTTGAACTGGACTCCTCATATAGATATATTGAGTAAGAGACTATCCAGTCTCTTATTTTTGCTTAGACAGCTCAGGTACTGCCTCAATTCGAGCATGTTAAAAAATGTTTATTTTGGATTATTTCATTCTGTGATCAGTTATGGTGCGATTCTGTGGGGTAATGCTGTTATTTCCTCAAAAATATTCAGGTTACAAAAACGCGCAATAAGACTATTAGCTGGGGCTAGGTATAGAGACCACTGTCAACCACTGTTCAAAACAATGAGGATTCTACCACTCCCTTGTGTGTGTGTATACCAAAATTGACTAGAAATCCATTCGGAAAGGCAGAATATACAAAAAGTTTCTGGCCTGCATCATTACACTACCCGGGCTGCTACGGCTGATGATTTAGTATTGCCACGTTACAGGTTGTCCAAATCTGAGAAAAATTCATTAGATTTTAAACTATATAATAAATTGCCCTGCGAATTTAGATCCATGAACGAGAAATTGTTCAAAATTAATGTAAAAAATTATCTTCTCGAACATTGTTTTTATTCTAGAGACGAGTTTATTCAGACAAAAATTCAATTTTGACGTGTATTACCCAATTTATGTGATTGTGATATATTTTATATTGCATACCTGAAGGCTTTTAGATAATGTAATTATATATTCATTCAATATGATATATTAATTGTGATTGACTTGCTATAAACCATATCATGTATGAGTTACATAGTTAAATAAATATATATCTATCTATCTATCTATCTATCTATCATATTCTGTTTAAGGAAACCAGTAGAATAAACAGAATACAAGGACTCAGTATAACCTGAAATCTTTTTTCTAGTAACGAAACCATTCCAGAATGGAGCTTCCCCAAGACGTGCTGGAAACCATGCGATGCGGACTCTGCAACAACTACCTCTCAGTCGCACCAATCAGTACAGTTACCTCCGACAACAAGAAACACCGATGCGGACGATGCACACACATAGAAACCAGAATCAACAACAGAAACATCCTCTACGAAAAGATAGCGCAGATCGCAGTTTTTCCTTGCACTTTCCCCAGTTGCGAGGAGAAGCTCCCCTGGGGCCGAGTGGAGGGGCACGAGAAAATCTGCGAGAAGAGGACCTTGCGGTGTCCGGTGTCGTGGAGGTGTGATGAAGTGATCAGCGTTGAGAATATCATCCCCCACTGCAAGAAGTTCCATCATAAAAACGTTTGCGAGGACAGTCTAACTACCCCTATGGATAGCCTCGAAACGAAGAGGAAGTTTACCGTTATGCTTCTGGTTAAGGAAGGTACACCTTTCCTGGTGTTTATGGTGCCTACCAGTCAGTATTTCTGGACTAATGTATTTTCCCTGTACCCACAGAAGAAATCCTCTTACAAACTGGGGTTGGTAAGCTCCAGCGATGAATGCTGCTTGTCCTTTTGTAACAAGATCATCCCTTATGATCCCAGGAAGCATTGCAAGAGGTGTGCCATGAACGATTGCCCTGATAAACTCCATGAAAGTTCGGTGGCTGACTTGGATGAATATACTTTGGGCTGCGGTTATCAGAAGATAAACAGGAATTTGGTCACAGAGTTGAAATTGAAGGAGATGAGATATACTGTGATAATAGAGAATAATGTAGACGAAAATAGCGTTGTTACTGAAGGTGGTGTTGACAAGTGAAAATATATTTTTTGAACGGTACTATCTTTATTCTTGATGGCCCTACGGGCTAGAACCCAGTATGTTTCAGTTTAGTGGACTGGACTTGATTTTGACGACCAAATGGATAAGTTGAAACTCACCAATGCTGTAGAGATACGAATATATTGGAGATATGTAACACGTGCCTGATTGTTTTATAATGAACGCCTGAAAAATTTATCCTAGCGCTTGTTTTTCATTCATTTTTTTGAGTTTTGTACAAATTTTCTCACGACAGTCGAAATTGAAAGCAATACAGTTCAGAATTCAACAGAATTATTAACGTCAATGCAAAAAAGATGAATCTATTGAAACTATTGAGTTTTGAAGCGATTTGTACAGTTAAGGTCTAGTCACTGCCATACTCATAATATCAAATTAAACCCTCGATTAGGACAGTGACAGATGTACAGTGTGTAACAAAGAAAACTTAACACAGCCGTTTTTGAATATAAAAAGTAAGATTTTTAAAAAAAGCTCGGACACGTCGATTTCTAATTGAAGGGGGAAACCTTTCAGACTAATCAGATTTTTTGTAGTACGCACCTCCTCGGAGGGGTGCGTCCGACGACCCTTATTCAGATAGGGAAAGTAGGTCGAGTGGCACCTTGTTTTAAAGGTCTTTCGAATAAGTTTATATTTATGTTATTTTTGTAACGATTAGTTTACGAGATAATTTGAAGTTAAAATTGCCATGTTATCAAAGTCTGAAGTTTATGCTACACAACCAGCCAATTTGGATGAATTACGTCGTAGAATTATTAATGAATGCCGAGCTATAACTCCTGAGATGTTGAATAATGTAAGAGCAAAATTCGAACTATGTGAGGTACCCTTATTAGGTGTTACTTTTTTGTGTGTGCTTTAAAAACAATTATTCGGATTTATTAACCCTAAAACAGTTTTTTATAAACTTTTCTGTGTCACCAGCTTTCAAGGAAATCAGCAGGTTGTATTCGTTGGGTAGGTAAGTTTTTACTATGATTAACTTTTTTGTAAGAAGCATAAAATATCCACGTCAAAAGGCAACCTTCATAAGGAGGTGCCACTCAATTTACCTAAAATGTAAGGGTGGTAATCAGCCCCATCACCCGAAAAAATCTCCTCGTAATAAACAAATAATCCTTACTTTTTTACGAAATCAAATGGACACGTATTTTAGCAAGTTGTCATAAAAAGCAAACATTTATTTTTTTTATGAAAGTTCTGAACGTAAATTGTACCTTAAAAACAATTTGATTTATTTTAAAAAGGGTTGAACTCAATAAAAATACCTTTAAATCTTCAAATTATCTCGAAAACTAATCGTCACAAAAATTTTCTTTCAACAGAGATGTAAAGGTATTCGAAAGACCTTTAAAACAAGGTTCCACTCGACCTACTTTTCCTATCTAAATAAGGGTCGTCGGACGCAACCCTCCGAGGGGGTGCGTACTACAAAAGATCTGATTAGTCTGAAAGGTGTCCCCCTTCAATTAGAAATCGACGTGTCCGAGCTTTTTTTTTTAAATCTTACTTTTTATATTCAAAAACGGCTCTGTTAAGTTTTCGTTGTTACACATTGTATAAACTGTGAGAATGATGCATACTTATCTCCGAGAGTTACGTATGATTCAGAAATAATGACACCTAGATGTTAATTTTAATGGCTGTCAGTTTTATTGTTATTGGATTGAAGCAACTTAGCCCTGTTAAATTCACTTTTGGTGGCCTAGTCTTCAATATTTTTATCATTTTAAGGGTTTGAAGAAAATAATCACGTCGTACTAATTTTCTTTGAGAGAAAAACATTTCAGAATTCAACAGAATTATTTCCGTCAATGCAAAAAAACGATAAATCTATTGAAACGATTTGCCTGATGATATTGAGTTCTTCATTAAACTTATCTATTGATTAGTCTATAAATCATGCTATTATAGGATGTTATTTTGTGTTGATACGGATGGGCAGAAATGTTATGAATAGTAATATTCGTATTGGAAGGTTTGTAATAAATTGAAAAATAATGTTTGTTTGTCAAGACCAATAAATCTGTAGAGTTTCAATTCTCTGCTTTTACTTTATTATTGGATCACTGAACTAGTTAACTGAAAATAGTTTCGTTTGAGAAAAAAAATAGACATTCATCTAAGGCAATTTCATGTCGAGTGGTGTTAGTAAAGATTATTTCCTGGAATATTTTCAGCTGAATGCATCGATATAAAAGATATCAATTCTTAAATTGAATAAATTGTATTACCTGAATAATGAGAAGTTGCAGAATATTTTTTTGAAAGTACAGTGTTGGAATATTCGAACAGAGTACGTGGATGACTAACTTCGTATTTGTCAACAATATCCGACATACTTGATATAGCTAGATGTATCACCAACACGTCGCGTATTCTTTTCGATTTCATTAACATTCAGAATATCGTTTCCAAATATATCTCATTGTACGAATACGTTTCGATTTCGATCTATGATCTATCAAATATAAATTATTGGTATTCAAGAGAGAGTTGAATGATTGTAGTGAGGTTATGTGAATCATTGTATTGGTGAGTTTTATTTGATTTACATATGCATTTGTGTTGTTGTCTCAGAGGTTAAGGTCTAGTCACTGTCATAATCATAATATCAAATTAAATATGAATGATGCATAACTGAATCCTAAGAGTATGATTAAGGAATAATGACAACCTAGATGTTAATTTCATGACGGCCAGTTTTATTGTTATTGGATTGAAGCAACTTAGCCCTTATGATGCACTGTTTGGAACCTTTGGTGTAGTAATGAATATTACTGGAGTTTTTTCCCAACACCAAATCGTTATTTTTAACATCTCGACACGTGTTTCGATCACCAAGTGATCATCTTCAAAGATTAAACTAGTAACTGACGCGAAACTAACGCTATTTATGCTATATAGATATCCCATACAGGTAAACCATCCAGGTGCACCACCCATACAGGTATACCAACCTTAATTAATTCTATCTACTATCTCACAATATATGTTTAACTGTTATAGCTGTATATATTGCTCTATATAGTTGTATATAGCTGTATATTATACCATGGTATACCAACCTGAATTAATTTTACAATTTTGCCTCATCTATTATTTTACAATATATGTTTAACTGTTATAGCTGTATATAATGCTGTATATAGCTGTATGTAGCTGTTATTATATACAGCTATAACAGTTACACATATATTGTAAAATAATAGATAAGGCAAAATTGTGAAATTAATTTAGGTTGGTATACCTGTATGGGTGGTACACCTGGATGGTTTACCTGTATGACATATCTATATAGCATAAATAGCATTAGTTTCGCATTAGTTACTAGTTTAATTTCCCTCTTTGAAGATGATCACTTGGTGATCATCTTCCAAGATCATCTTTGAAAATAACGATTTGGTGTTGGGAAAAAACTCCAGTAATATTCAATTTAGCCCTGTTGAATACATTTTTGGGTGCCTAGCCTTCAATTTTTCCATCATTTCATCGGTTTGAAGAAAATAATCACATTAAAAAACACATCAGGCAAGAAACCTGCAAAACCGTCGTTGCCCCCTCAAGTCGCAACACCCAAATGACGTCCTGCGATGGAAAACATGGGGAATGGCCCTTCATCCCTCCGAATTCTGAGTAGCGAAAACGATCCGCTTAACTGTGTAATAAACATCCTCGTTCGAAACGACACCAGACCCGGGTTGATTTATGTGGAAGTCGAGTGGTAGGAAATTGTAAAAGATCTTTCGGACTTGAAGAAACCCCAACGAGTTGGAACTTGGCCAACTTGACACAATAGAAAGCTAAAGAACCCTATATTGTGGCCAGGAGATATTGATAGTGAAGTCGAGCGACATAAATGTATTTGTTTGGGTGGTGAAGAGGGTGATATCAGAAATGAAGCGTTTGAACGTATCGAATTTCAAGAATCTGTAGATGAGGGGTGTATTAAATCAAATAAATACAAATCTGATCTTCATATTTCGAATTGGTGGGGGATGGCCCTTATTAATTACATCATTGGAATATTTACTCGGTTTCGAAAAATTAAAATGTACCGACGATATACTCGTTTCTACCAGCGGTATTCACCTATAATTACTACTGAGAAAAAAGAAATATACAGGGTGCCCCAAAATTAAGTTACAAACGATATCGCTGTTATTTGTGAAGCTACGAAAATGAAATGAAGACGGTATTGAAACACTTCAGAATGTCCTTCTAAGATCCTTTTTGAAATCGTTCTGACTATTGCAGGTTCTGAGAAACTACACTCGAATTGTTTTTTTTAAATAGCACCGACAGAAAAAGTCACTGTGAATGCTGTAACTTATAACTTTTTACACAGGATGTCATTCTTGCCATTTTTGAAAAATGCGTCAGTAACAAATGAACATTTTAGTAGAAATTAGACTAAAGTTATTTCCTTCATCCTATATTTACATCGTTCTGCACTAGTTACTCATGAAACTAGATGTGTGTGCAATCAGGTGGAGCTCAGTTCGAGTATATTTTGTAGAGTTTTTGCCACTTCCTTTATTTAATGTAGGCCAATGAAATATTAGATATATTCGGTTGAAAATAACTCTTGAGAGTATTCCGATTATAAAGAAAATCTCTTTGTGTCTACAATGATAGAGATACTGAAGTAAAACTTGGGTGAAAAAAATTGATGATAGTCATTGAAAAAGTTTCATAGAAACTACAATGGTTACAAAGATTTCACAGATGATCTCACGAGGTCAATCTGACGTTCTTCAAGACCGCCTTTATTTCATTTTTCCTATCATCTAAGCTTTGCAACCTAATATGTCTCTATGACGCTCGAGTAAATCACCATTTTGCATCGTGGGCTCCCCTACTATTCAAGGTGCTTAAATAGAGTGTCCTTATGGGGAACATTGATGCAACAATTTGATTTAAGTTACTTTCTACATTCACATCCACTAAGAATCTGAACATCAATCTTCATATGCATATTTCGATTAAAAATGTTTTTGTTTCAGATTGTGAAATATGTCAAGACGTTTCCAACTCAACTGGAAATATAAAAGGCGACTCACTCAACTGCAGCTGCATCATCAGCAACGCCACCTCTTCAACAACTGAACCTTCTGAAAACACTGATTTACCAGACTTGAATGCAATTATCAACCTCCTTCATGAAATAATCGAAAACTTGATGTATGGCAAGCAAGAAGACTCGGTGGACAGCATCGTTCGCTTGTTTTCTCTTCTTTCCACAGACGTGCTGGCTGATTCCAAAGACGCACAGTATGTGCAGAATGTACTGAAGCGAAACCTTGAAGGAGTTCTGTCTAAGTTCGCGATACAGATTGGGGTATTCTTCAACCCTTACATTATGAAAAATTCAAAGGTGGAGCAGATGTGCCATGGGGATTCCTTCTGCATACTCAATGGTCTTTTAGCTCGAAGGGACAAGATATTGGTCAAGTATATTTCTGATCTGGTGCCGGACATTATTGACGGTTTGATAAACTCGATAGATGATTTAGATAAAATGAATCCAGAATGCGACGTGAAGCATTGTGTTTTCACCAGGACAGTGTTGGAAAACAAGACGAAAGTGAAGGATCTGCTTCAGGATTCTAAGGTCTTCAAAGATTTCGTGGCAAAGTACACGGTTGCTTTGGTGTCGTCTATTATAAAATCTGATATAGCTAAACTTCCTTGAAGTTTGTCGAATCTCTGATTTCGAAATAAAGCACAGTCACAGAACTTTATGTTTCATGATTTGGTTATGATCCAGGATAGTCATGTACCATTCTCCTCTAGTTCCCAATCACCATAATGGATCTAAGGTTGGGTCTGAAAGATTTTTTAGCTCTGAAAGATTTTTTAGATCTGAAAGATTTTTTAGTTTCCATTTTGTCAAATAGGTTTATAACCTTTTACAATTTTGAAAGAGTAGCCTATAAAAAAAATCATGTACCATCCTTCTCTAGTTTCCAATCACGATGATGTATCTAAGGTTGAGTCTGAAAGATTTTTTAGAAATACTGCCAAGCGTAACTTCATTCGTTTGCTCAACAAGTATGGAAAGCAAAAGTAAACATTTCTTAGTAGTTTTCTCAAATTGCTCGCACTTGGTTCACTAACTCCCCGTGGATGAATCTTTGGGCACCCAGCTATACCTCCAATGGGGCTCTAAATTCAGATTATGATAAGAAAATGTGAACAAGCAAGCTGAATTCATTCGTTTGTGTCTAGACAAGGCAGTGTCTGCAGTATCGACGAGTCTATCGATTCTTCGTCAAAATGATTATATCTTGGTCCATGAGCTAGGGTTATTTTGACTTGAATACAGATTCACTAATTAAGCAGGAGCTGGACATTTCATCCATTGTGCTTTCGAAAAAATGAGAAGGAACCTCTAAAGTTGGCAACAATCATAATGGCTCACTCATGAGACGAAGTGTTCTAGACAATGAGCATCAATGTGCCTACACCTTTTACAGATTTTTAGAAGCTGCTGTTGAGTGGAACAACTTCCTACTTACATTTCTAATACCAAGCCATAGGTGCTACATACCGTATGAAGCAACTCCCAGGTAATCTCTAATACGGTTGATGAAGTTAAGTCAAACATGAACGTTATAGACTAAAAGATTTCTGAAGATAGGATCTACAGACAATCATTCATTTCTCCTGAGCTTTGGAGGTGTTCAACAAGCATTTGTTTATTCTCTATGACCAAGAAGATCATGGATTCGACGAGATTGGTCTATACCTTGTTGGGGATTAGTTGAATTCGAGTGTTCCTTTGCATAAGCCTGTGAGGAAGTTATAGAAAATTGGATTAAATGTTGCATTATTCAGGATTTAGTTGATTGTTTGTGAATATGTCAATACATTCTGAGAGTTGTTGGGACCGTTCATTTGCCACAAGGAATGAGGAAGAGCTGGAATTTTCATTTGTTGTCTTTGTGAGTACCAGAGTGTATGTGACCCATTTAAATGATTGATGATGGTGGATCTTATTTGGCCTAGTATGGATTCTTGAGTGTAGACAGGAATTGATTAAATTTGCATTACAATTGGTGACGTCTCTACATATATGGTGTTTTTTATGATATGACCCCAGATATTCTGTTGAACATGGTATATCAAAAAAAATCTTGTTCGTGAATCTCGATTTTTATTCATGCAAGTGACCGAAACTGTTTCTCGTTTTTCCAAACGAAAAAACTCAAGATTTCAGATTTCCTCAAAAAGAAAGCATTTCAAAATTCAAAAATGATGTCTACTCTGAGAAAAATCAGTGGCGGATTAGTTCTACTTTTGAAATTTTAAAAGGGAAAGAGAAGAGCTGGAGCTTTCAGTGTGATTCTCTTGATCTGGATACTTCTTGGTTTTATTTGAATTTATCTGTGTTTCTGTATATTTCGATTTTCTGTTGGGAGTAGTTGCCTACAATGAAACATTCATTTTTCAAGAAGACGGTGCTCAATTTTGATCAGAATGTCTTGTTCTGCCATACTCCTTTACGGAGAGATTGAAGGTCTTCACTGAAATCGTGTTGTTTGCGGTGATTGGAAAAGATCGAGTATACCGGTCACTTGAGTGTTTGCATCCGGTATTTCAATTCAATGCCCCCATACATCTTGGCTTGTTGAGAACTTAGGAGGAAGAGAACTTTTACAACAGCAGTGTATGATTACCTTGCAAACAAATCAATGAGATTTATTCAAGGATAATTTTCATTGAATGTTCACAGTTAACTCTGTAACACACTATGAAATGTTACGAACTTGTATAAATTGTCGAATATGTACTATTTTCTGTTTATTCAAGGACTCGCGTTGTAAACAAATCTAATGAAAACATTTTACGTTCATCGGTTCAGAGCAAATTCAATAGAATTAGATGCTACCTTCAAATTCTCGTAAATTGGATGGTCAATAAATATGTAGAATTGAACATGGGTTTATCTTGCTCGAACAAATATTTGCAGAAGTTTTGAACGTCGAGTGGGCTAATTTTATCCGTATTAAGCAAACACGTGGAAACATTATATGCTTCTTCAGAAATAATAATAATGGAAACATCTATCATCTAGCAGTCTAGATGTAATTCAGTTTGACTAAACTGAAAATAGACCGGTTTCGGGCTGTTTGGCCACTCGTCAGTGCAAGGTAGTGTATATCATCAACATAAAGTTGATCATTTCCGATAATTGAAAATCAAATTCCGTCAGAGTGTCATTCCTCGAACTAAGCTGAAGCATACAACAAACAACAGGTTTATCGTCGCCCCATCTGCCTATGAACGAGGCAACCTACTGCATATCCGAAATTTGACCAATTCCTCGTATAAGGAAATAAATCTTTCACATATAGTCAGTGGACATACTCGAAGACTGGCTATAAATCAAATTATCTAAGAACAATTCTTTCAGGTCAGTCTCAACTCCCTACACAGTAGGTTAGAACTGTATCTAGTTGTTCGTGTTATCCAAAAGAGAGGTTTATCTGAGCTCAGAGAAGTGGAGAGGCAATAGTAGTTTCTTTAATGAAATGAATAAAACACTTCTGTATGATTTCCACTAATTAATTTTATTTAAACGACCGGTTTCGGGTTTAACCCCATTATCAAGTATAAAAATAAAATTTAAAATTTGAAAACTAGGTTATATCGGGAGTTTTTAGGTAATATAGAAGGACAGGTAGTTCTTCTTCTTTTATTTTGGTTTTTGCTTCCCTTTGGCGCAGTAGACCAAAGGACAGATAGTTAAACGAACCAGTGTGCCAACTATAAAATTCAACACTGAAGATTATAGGGGTTGTAAACTTATAAATTCAGTAGTGGAGAGCTACATAAATCGAGTTGCTTGTTTAGGGGTATATATTTCAGGTTTTTTTTTGATTTGTTAATTTCCATGGCTTCCAACAAATTCATTTCTTCCCTTTAATACAGATGTGTAGGATTTTGAGGTTACCTTAACTTATCTTGTGTTTTGATTTTTGTATATGTTCATACATTGAAGATTTTTTGTCCAAACATACGTGTTCACGGAGCCTTACGTCAAAATTTTGGCCGGTTTTGAAATCGAAACTAATCGCAAGCGAGTCCGTTTGGTGGAAATCCGTCTTCACAAAGTAAACCAAGGTACTCTACGGCAATCATATCAATACATCTACTCACACTAGATCTTCATCTTTCATTTTACGATTCTCCGTTGAAAACCATTGATAAAATCTAGGAAAATTTGACGGAGCTTATAAATTCGAGTTCTTAAATGCTATATCTTTCAAGTTTTTGCGCTTGAACGAGGAACGGTACTCTGACTCTTATGAAAAAAATGCTCCAGAACGTTTAAAAAAAAAACGAAAAACTTACTTCAAGAACATGCAGACTCCCGTGCTCTCTATGGCCCTGCTGATGCCCTTCCACGAGGCCATCATGTTGTATTTCTGCTTAGCGGTGAGCGGCAGCCTCGAATCAACTGTAGCAGGGGGCGCTACGTCGTCCAGTTTCCCGTTGTCGTCGGAGTTTCCGCCCCCTGCGAGTTTTCCCAGTTCGCACCCCATCACGCGATCTAGCAGGCGAACGCGACCGGCCGAGGTACGCTTCTACGCCGCCAGAGGTGATGCCACTCGCGCTGTTCTAGCCATGACGAGAGAGAGTAGAGAGAGGAACGCTCGACGAAAGGAACGCTTGAATCAGGTTGGTGTCGACTGATGACGTAGCAACGCTCGGGGTCCGGTTGGGTCGGTGGGTCATTTACACTCTGTTGGTCGGCCTGGAACAGAAAAGTGATCGCAGGATGATAATGAATTATTTAATGTTCAAATAATTTACAGTAACTGCGTGTTCAGTGAAAAATTTACAGGTTGTCCTAAATGACGATGGTTCAAAAATATCAAGTTTGTAGGAGTGAGTAGTTTTCATTTGCTCTGCTATTTCATTATTACATTACAGAGGCGACACACACTGTGTTCCGACAGTCTGAGTCTCTGCAAATGACAGTGACCTGTGAGAATGCCTACTGTAGTTCATCCCTACTATAGTCCAACAACTGTTTGGTATCACGCTTCAAAGGGTGAATGAAAGCCTTGGAGTGACCCAATCCTGGAAGATTCTGCCAGAATTCCATTAATCTTCCTGCCATCCAGGTGTTCAATCTTTGTTTGGCGAAGCCCAAAGCGATGCCAATGACAGGTTCTGGTCTGATTAAGCTGCTTGCAGCACCCTCCTTTGCAAGGGAGTCAGCAGTCTCATTTCCTTCTAGGCCAGTATGGCGAGGAATCCAGACCAGAGACAATCTGTTAGTCTTCCTATCGAGGAGAGTCGTTTTTGGCAATTTGCTACCATAACGGTGTGTTTGTCACAGAATTACTTCCAATTCAATGAAAAGTTTTACTCATCTTGCAATGGGAAACCCACTTAGTCCTATTCTGGCAGATATTTTTATGGACGATTTGGAGAGAAGAATACACAGCAATCCACTGGTAAGAAGTTTTCTGTATTGGTATAGATATGTGGATGGTATCCTGGTATGTTTCACGGGAACGAACAGACAGTTGACAAACTTTTTGTTCGTTCATCAATTCCCTCCACCCTTCTGTCACATTCACAGTGGAGATGGAACAGGACGAATCTATACATTTTTTGGACTTGACAATAACAAAAGTCAACAACAAACATGATTTTTCAATTTATCGTAAACCGGCACATACAGATATTATCATTCCATAATTCGTCTACTCACCCATATCAGCATAAGGTAGCAGCTTTCAACAGTATGATCCATAGACTGATAAATGTACCCTTGTCAGAAGCGAATTTCAATAATGAACTGAATATAATAAAGCAAATAGCCGTCAACAATGATTATGATAGTGGTCTGATACATTCTTTATTATCAAAAAAGTTATATAGTCAAGATTTGAAAGAAGTTTGCCCAATTCGAAGAAAAGAGGATAAAAGTTATAGAACCTTAACCTACTTAGGTCAACCCACTACAAATATTTCAGATTTTCTGCACAGCAAAGGTGTAAAGACTGCTTTCAAAACGAACAACAACTTGGGCATGCACTTTAAAAATAACAAAGATGAAAGTTCAGTTTCAGAAAAATCAGGAGTGTATAAATTATCGTGTGGGTCATGTCCGATGTTTTATATAGGTCAAACTGGAAGAACGTTCAAAACCCGCATAAAGGAATACAAATATGGTTTTCAGAACGGAAAGATGAATTCCAAATAGGCCAGTCATCTAATCTCAGAGGGACATGAGTTCAACCATGAATACAAACCCCTCCATTTCCAGAAGAAAGGTTTGAAACCTAACCTGTTGGAGAGTATGGAAATAAACAAATTCAAAAACTCCCAACATCTTATGAACGATCAAACTGAATTGAATAATTCGCCATTATTGAATCTGTTCATTCGCAGGTAAAAATAGTTAGGTATATTTACAGGTAAACTTTCGAAAAATGTATTGATACCTGACATTTACAGGTAGATTTATTATTTAGGTAGACGACTAGGTACTAGGTTATAGTAAATAAGTTTGTAATTTAGAAGTAACTTTCAGTTATGCTTGAAGAAGCTATTGTATAGCGAATCACGTGTCGCTGTTTTTGTAAAACCCTTATAGTGAAAATCATACAATAAACTGAATTGATTACTTTTTTTTTAATTTGCTACCAGTTTAGATGTTGCTCGGTAGGAACCAAGAGCTTCCAACGCCGTTTAACTGTCCAAAAATATTTTTATTGACTTGTGTATGAGGTTTGATCCTTCCAATCTCTCAGCACACAATTCAATAGCGTAACTTTCCGCTTGAAACACAGTCGCATAGGTTCCTAGGCAGGTTGATATCTCTGTCCTGAGTCTGCGACTGAAGACGCCTGCACCACAACCGGAATGTGTTTTTGATCCATCTGTGAACCAACAACTACCTGCTCTTGATATTTCCTTCTCCCGGAGGATCCACTCTTCTCTACCTGGGAACAGTACTTTATAAGGCAATTCGTAGTTGACAGTTGGAGGACATTTCCAGAATGCTGTGACTTCCAACAGTCTGTTGCACTCTGCATTACATTGATTTGTGCAATTGACAAATATGCACAAGTCTATATGCAGCCCATTTAGCCTCTCTTTCCAGAAAAATGTGGAGAGGAGGTAAATCTAGAACGATCTCCATGGCCGCTGACGGTGTGTTTTTGATGGCATCACTGACGGCCAGACAAGCCTGTCTCTGTAAATCAGAGAGCTTCGCTTGGGCCGTTTTTTCTAAAGCTTTCGGCCACCAAGCAACTGCACCATAAGTGATCATTGGTCTGATAATCATCACATGAATCCAATGGATTTGTTTGGGACCTACACCCCAAGTTTTACCACAAATACTTCGACATGTCCATAGAGACAGTCTGGCTTTGTGTAAAACTTTTTCCAAGTGAGCGTTCCAGGTGATGTCCGCAGCCGATGTCCTGGAATCCAAATGGAATGACGAAACAATATTGCTGTCGTTAGCAAAGCAATATATTGGACTCTTCCAAAAAGTCGTTGATATACAATGAAACAAAAATTCGAGAGATATCCATTGACGGCCACTTACAGAAAACGTTCTTTCAGGAAGCTGAAGAGCCATACTCAAAAATGATACGACAAGCCATAGCATGGAAGTTTGGCCAGGAAAGCATCATGCCACACACGGTCAAATGCCTTAGAAATATCAAGCGCAACAGCTCTTGACTCTCCATGTTTCTCGATTTCGTTATATCAAATTTGTTTTTCCGATGCAAGTTTTGCGTCGCATGACCATCGTTCAGGAATTGTTGAATGAAGTCAACGGCGATCCGGATCTGCTTGAAAGGATCATAAACTGGTGCGAATCATGGGTACATTGTTATGACATCGAAATCAAAGTGCAATCGTCCCAATGGAAGAGACCAAGAGAGCCAAGACCTGAACAACCACGATCTTCGAAATTTTTTGGCTAAAAACAAAACCATAATAATAATGATAATAATAATTTATTAGTTCTTTTCGACCACCAGAGCAAAACCATATTTGTCGTGGAATTTTCAGCTCTTGGCGAGACGAATAATAATGGATAAAATATCGAGATTTTCTCTTCAAACTCCGCAGACTCTATCCAGATCACTCTGTCAAGATGGTTGTTCTGATTATTGGAGTTCTTGGTGGAATGATGTCCTCTCTACTCTCGAATCTTAAGATTATAACGGCTTGCCGTACTAAGGCAGAAATCTTAGCCGCACAGATGCAGAAGGCTGTCATTCTTGGCTCACTGCGCTTGCTCAGGGCACATGATTCTCGGACCCAATGATCACTTACCCCACGGTGTGGGGAGTGGTCGTTGGTTGATAATGCTGGCGCTTCTTCCCGAATGTATCGGGGCTTCGGGGGATAGGGCCTAACCAGCGCACACTACGGGAAAAAAATGAATCTTTATTTCCTGTTGAAAATTACATGTATGGGAATTGTCAAGCCTAATTCTAAGGTTATTAAAAGTATTTGAAAAAAATAAAATATGAATTTAAGATAAGGTAGTCACATACATTAATTTTCTATTAAAAATTCGGAATATTAAATGAATATTACTGTAGTTTTTTCCCCAACACTAAATCGTTATTTTTAACACCTCGACACGTGTTTCGATCACCAAGTAGCCATCTTCAAAGAGGAAGATTTAATCTTCTTTTGAATTACAGCGGAAATGTGTGATTTATAGCTGAGTGTGGAGTCTAGGATCACACCTAGATCTTTGGTTTCAGTAGCAGAATGTAAGGTCCGATTATTTATACTATATTCAAAAGTGATTGGGTGATGTGTTCGATGAAAGCGAAGAATTTGATATTTGGATGCATTCAAACACATACCATTTTGCGAACACCAGTTGGATAGGCAATCTATATAGTTTTGTAGACACAATGTATTAGCTTCACTTTTAATTATTTTGAAACATTTCAAATCGTCGGCAAATAGTAAAGGTTCGCTTTCATGGAAACACCTGATTAGATCGTTGATAAAAAGGTTAAACAACAGTGGTCCCAAATGTGAACCTTGTGGAACACCCGATGTAACTGCGATGGAATGAGAATAATAATGATTAACTCTAACAATTTGTGTTCTTTCCGTAAGATAGCTCTTGAGCCACTGCAATATTTGCCCATCAACATCATATTAACAAAGTTTATGGATCAATAGCTCATGATTAACTTTGTCAAAAGCTTTGGAGAAATCAGTGTACACAGAGTCAACTTGCAGACCCTTAGACAGAGCGTTAGATAGAAAATCAACGTAGGTAATTAGACCCAGTTCAGCTGACTTTTTGGATGTAAATCCGAATTGTTCGGTCCCTATAATTGGGAGGCAGTCATAAGTAAGATAATCAAAAATGATGTCAAAACTTTAGGGATTGCGCTAAGAATAGAAATTGGACGATAATTACACACGTCGGATTTTCGACCTGATTTATATATTGGGGTGACATATGAGGTTGTCCAATAGTCCGGGAATTTGCCAGATGATAGGGAATTATTAAATATATAGAAAAGTGGTCGAGCTAAAATAAAGCTAAATGATTTAAGAAAAGTTGGATGAATTCCATCAGGACCGGGGCCTTTGTTGATATTAAGTTCGGACAGTTTTTTGTAAATTTTAGAGATTTCAATATGATAATTGGACACATCAACCATGGATGTAATATTGCTATCGTAAGAATGTAAAGATAGACTTGTATAGACGGAAGAAAATTGATTAGGATTTACATCT